CTACTCCACCACTGGTCTCTTTTGTGGTGGACCAGCCAAATGAAGGCATACTGAATTTTGGCATTTTGAACTTACTTTCTTTTCCTTTAGCATCTTTATGTGTGGCTTTTATTTCACCTTCTATCTTTACCACTTTAGTGGTTGCTCCTGGGCCCTTAATGTCCACCTCGGCCTTCGGTAGAGAAACGTCTACTGATGGGAGGGTGATGTCCACCTTTGGTGCTTGAATGTCTGCTTTAGGCAGTTTGGGTATTTTGAGTGATGGCGTTTGCATTGTCCAGCCTGAGTCTTCTGTCACAGGATCAATTTGAACTGGTGCTTTTGGGACCTCCATATCAATTTCAAGTCCTTCTATTTTTACTGTTTTCTTGTGTATGTCAGTTTCCACTTTGTGTAATGTGATTTCACTTTCTGGCTGCTTTCCCTTATTGGTGTAAATTCCAAAGTTTTCTTGTAGATCTGATATTTGCATCTGATCCTGCTCATATTCTTCATTTATCTCTTTTTCTTGTTTTGTTTTTCCAGTTTCTTTTGTTGTTGTTTTTATTTCTAGACCCTTTATTTGAACCGAAGTGTGTTCTAGGTGATCCGTCATTTCTTTATTTGTTATCCCTTCTCCAGGATGTTGCAGAGAAATTTTGGTGGGTTTTTGTTCTGATGAACTTTTTTGTTTCTTTTTTCTGGTCCTTGGTAAAGCTTGTGGTATTTGTTTGCTTTGTGTGTCTTTGGGACCAGGTGTTTGTATTTCTGAAGTAGGTGTTGATATTTGTGTGGTTATTGGTGGTATTTGTGATGTTGTAGTAGTAGGTTTAGATATTGCTAACTGGTTTTTTTGTTTTTTAATGTTAATTTCAACTTCAGGGTACTTCTTTGTATAAATTGGTAAACCATTTTCCATGTCTTTTAAGTCTTTTTTGACATTGTCTTGTATGTTACCTGCTTTTGTTTCATATGCAGATGTGCTATATTGTACAGTTAGTATTTCTGGAGTTTCCATGCTGATATCTTCTTTTTGTATTTTATCCTTTTTTGTTGGTGTCAAGGTTTTTATTTCTAATCTCTGCTTCTCTTCTGTTTCTGCTTTTGTTCTATGCATTTTGAATCCAATATTAGGGAACCTCAGTTTCTTTTGGCTTTCTTTTTTCTCTTTAGCACAGAATTCTTCTTGTTGTAACTGTGACTCAGTGTCAGTGCTTGTTGGGGAAATATCTTGTATAGCATGCTCATATGCATCTGATGTACTATGAGATCTTCTGTGCCCCAAAATCTTTTTATTTTTCATTGACTGGAATTTGGGCCATGACAATCTCTCTTTTCTGGGTCGTTTTGTTCTTCCCACCCTTTGTTTTACAATTTCCTTTTCCTTGTCTTCTTCTGAAATAATCTTTTCTGAAATTTCCAGTGATGTTGCAGGAATTTTTTCAGTAAGCTCTTTTTCCTGAAGAAGAGGTTGTTTTTTTGTAAATATTAATATAAAATGTGTATAATATTCATCTTGTTTTGTTTAAAATCAACTACTTTTTGGACATATAAACACACTAAAAATTGAGGGTGCACTACAATCAAAAGTTACATGAAATGAAATTATTATACTAAGTTAATAGATGTATATAGCTACCGAAGTCTAGATTCTATATAAAACATGCTGGCTTGTAGTCAACAGCAACTCCTAAATATATTTTATTCAGAGATTATTCAATTTGCAGTGTGAGAAAGAAGATGCATTTTAATCAGATGGAGACCCATGATTAGATTCTGTTGCGACAGATGTCAGTGACTAAACCAATATTGACTAGAGGTGCTCAAAAGAACAGCCATTTTTCATTGACATTTTGTATGATGAAAAATTCCAACCATGGCTAATACTGACTTCATTTGGAGCAGGCTCAGATCCCTAGGATACCTAATTGAACTCTAAAACATTGTGATTAAAAATATGTTTGTCCTTACTGTTTGATGATTTTATATTTTCTCTATCACTAGTTTATAGTCGAAGAACCAAATCCCTTTTTCACTCTGGACCTGTTCCTTTTCCCATTCAGTGTAATGGAAGCTGGGTCAGGCTCTGTCTCCTCCCTTCAAGAAAACTAAACTTCCATCATATTCAATGCAAGTTTAGCTTGATTAAGGACTTAAGTGAAATACTCCCTTGTACACAGGGCTTAATTTGGACTAAAGAGGTGCATCGTTTTTGTGCTGGCTTTCTGCATAGGAGTGGATTTCACCCTGAGTGAGAACTGCAGGTTTTGTCCGAAAGTATCATAAAGGTAGTAAAGTGAAGCATGTGTGTGTTTGCAGGACAAGGGCCTTTATTTCCCCATCTCCAATGTTACTATATAATGTACATTTGTAGTATTTTCCTATTCTTTCTAACATGATACAGAAATAATTTTACCTGACTTATTTTTTCCTTCTTGTGTTGTGCTGTAGAATGTATTTTTTCTAGCTCTTCTTTCCCAGCAAGTTTTCTTTTGAGACTGAATTGTACTTTGTATGGCTCGGAATATTGTAGAATCTTGAGTGCATCTTCATATTTGATATTATCAAAAAATATTGTGGCACTTAATAGCTGATCACCTGCAAATGGTACCAGACATTTTATTTTAAGATATCAGTTTGCTATATCATGCGGTTTTTCAAATCACATTGTTCTTGATGATCATATAAACATGAAGGGTCATAAACATATGATGATTATATAAAGCATATCATGATTTGTTTTAATATGTATGCTTTGGAGTTTTATTTGTTTAAATAGTATTATTTATTGTATTATTGTGTATTCATGCACATAATAGTTCATAAAAGGCTTACTGCATATTGGGCCACATTCTTCATAGATGTAAGTTACTTTTATCTTCGAAATTTAATGAATTAATTGTATTATATTTCTTTTTGTTTTTAATTACTGACTAGTTCTAGTGAAAAGTAGTGTATTCCATGATTTATAGGAAATCCATATTTCATTATTATTTCAGGTACTGATCCTGCAAACTGCTCATGGGAGTAAAGTTAAACATGTGCATTGGTGTTTGTAGGACGGGGACCTATTTTTGCTAGTATCTGAAAATATGAGTGTGTGTGTGTGTGTGTGTGTACTTATAAACAAACTTTGTGATTTTTTTTTCAAATTTCTAGATAATAGTGTTTTTAAAAAATCCAGAATATCAGACTGTACCTTCTCTCAAACTGAATATTTTCGAAGCAGGGGATCCCTTGAGCACCTGTTTTACAAATATGCCTTCATTTCCTCCACCAGCCACACTAAAACCGCTAGCACCAGATTCCACTTCTGTTTTCAGGGTCACCTCCATAGACTCCTAGATGCCCAGAAAGATGTCATGTTAAAATTCATTCCGACCACTTGAGACTATACTGAAATCTTCCTCTCACACTCAAAATGAGCATCTTCAGAAATACTTACCATATCTCCCTCAAGAAAGATTGCTTAAAAATGGGAACTTATATGTACAATATGGGCAAAGTGCCGAACACCTTGACTCCATTCCAATGGGACTGTGCAAATATTTAAAGTTAAGCACATGCTTAAGTGTTGTATTGGATAGGGGCCAGATTGCTCAGCTCAAGTCCTGCTGGGGGAGCAGAAAGACAGAGCCTCAGGGAGGAAGGGCTGGGTCCTCTCTTTAAAATTCATTTCATTCGCCCAAGTCCCAAGCTGCACAGACGCCGACTTTCCAATGTGCCGGGGGTAGGGTGACCAGACAGCAAATGTGAAAAATCGGGACAGGGGGTGGGGGGTAATAGGAGCCTATATAAGAAAAAGACCCAAAAATTGGGACTGTCCCTATAAAATCGGGACATCTGGTCACCCTAGCCGGGGGGTGCTGGATCCCTGGCTCTGCCAGGGCTCTGCCTCCTGCCCCCACTCATCCCTTCCCCCAAGGTCCCACCTCTGCCCCACCTCTTTCTGCCCTCTTTCCACCCCCACCCCACTTCTTCCTGCCCCGTTCCACCCCCTCTCCCAAGCGTGCCATGCCCTCGCTCCTTCCCCCCCCCAAGAACCTCCTGCATGCCGTGAAAAAACTGATCGTGGCACGTGAGAGCGTGGAGAGAGAGGGGGAGGTGCTGATCAGCAGGGCCTGCCAACGGGCAGGAGGCGCTGGGTGGGTGGGGAGAGCTGACAGGGGGGCTCCCGGTGGGTGCTCAGAACCCACCATTTTTTCCCCAGGGGTGCTCCAGCCCCAGAGCACCCACGGAGTCGGTGCCTATGCCAAGCTGGGCCCAGCCTCTGAGGGTCTGTCTTCCTGTTCTCCCACCACCACCCCTTGACAGGAGTTTGGCCTTCTCCACAGGTCTTTGCTGTTGGTGTCTTTGGGGCAGAGAATTTTTTTTTGTTCTGTATTTGTAGATCATCTAGCACAGTGCGTCCTGGTTCATGACTAGGGCTCCTAGGTACTACGATAAGACAAAAAGTAAATAATAATGCACTTTCAGCAATGTGCCAGATATAAGATTGCGTTGGCTCCTCTATATGATTGGTCAGAAGTGAGCAATAGATAAAAATTATATTAATTCGTAAACTAATCCTTCTTTTATTGCCATTCAGATCTTCCAGTGTCAGTTTTTGGCCCTGTATTTCCTTGAATGGGCCAGATCCTTGACTTACCCTACCCTTGGGGTAAGTCAGCATTTATATCAGCTGATGATCTGCCCGAGCGTGAGATTTGAGTGTGTAAAAAATGTAGACTCTTATCTTAAAAAGGCTGTATGTTAAACTTCCCCCAAATAGATAAAATAATGGTAGGGTCTGACAACAACCATACCAAGAAAATTGGCTTTTATGTGTCTCTGTATGGCAGCAACCTATAAGAAATGTGGGAGACCACTCACTCTTCTTAGAACACTGCAATCCTGAGATCAGTGGAGCAAATAAAAGAGAGAGGGGTATCGCAGAAGAGTGTGCACCTGTATTCTCAGCAAGGGATTAGAGGGCACATATGAAAGCAAGTGTTGTAGTCTTATTTTCTTTTCTTTATTCTGTGTGTTGATCTCCATCACCTCACGGACTCGCAGTGACAGAATGTACCCCTGTATTCGCACCCTACACACTACATGTACAAAGTATGCCTTGTAAGGTATCATTTGAAAACTCATAATTTTCTGGTCACTATTGTCCTGATAAAATATTGTGTGGCAACATTGTACGTGAAGTTTATAAGATTTCCCTGTATGGTGTACATATTCCAATCCTCACAGCCCTGCCTAAGCAGACATTGGCAAACAGGTCTGTCCTAAATAAAGGAATATGTGCTCTGCTTAATTTGCATGTAAGCTGTAAACAGAGTATTCAAGCAGGAAGAGAAGACAAAAGAAGTTCAAACAGGTGGAAAAAACAACAGGGAACATCCTTCCACATAGACTCTTTGTCTCCTAGTGCCAGCTGGAAATGTTTTTCAGGAGAGGGACTGAAACTGTAAAGAGGGCAAATACCCCAATACACCCCTCTCTCTCCCTGCCAATCACATTCTCTGCACCTGAAGCGACAAAGTTGGACTCTGGGAGAGGGGTCCTGATCTACAGATTTTGGTCAGTAAGACTGCTGAAAGCATGTGGTGAGAAACTTTGCTTGACTCTGATATAGTTTAAGTTAGGCATTAGTAAACATCTTATCTTTATTTTTCTTGTAACCATTTCCGACTTTTATGCTTCATTAGGGGTACTTGTACTTGATAAACTTGTTTTGCTGTTTTATGTAATCCAGTGTGTTTAAATTGAAGTGTCTGGGGATAACTCCATTTGGTTCAAGTTGTGTGCATATTAGTCTCATAAAG